CGCTCTATAAGTAGGAGTCATATTATTAACATCAAAATCAAATTTCTCACGTGAAAAAACTCCCTGACACCAATTTTCATCCAAATATTGACGTTACATCCGAAATTATTTTGAAAAAATCGAAATAAGATTGAAACTTCTACATCCTGTATCTGCGAAAAAAACTGCAGAATATGCTGCTAAAGTTTTAGGAATACGGTTTGGACCACCCTGTATATATGTATAAATTTAAGCGTTAACATTATTAGGTATTTGCATAAAAATGTATATTTTGAGTGATATTCCTCAAAATTTGTAAATAATGCAGGAAACAGAAATGTACAGATTACAGAAATAAATTGAAAATAATATTTATATTAAAACATCATTATATGTCAGTTTTTTAAACACGTTCTTCGAATCCTTCAATTTAATAGCTGTTAGTGAGAAGTTTCACTTCAAATATGCGCACGTAGTGCACATACTGTTTGTTTTACCGAAGGTAGATACACTATTTTTTGACACCCTATATATTCTCACCCTCTATATACTCTAGAATAAAAAGAAGAAAAAAATGCTTAATGTGAATGTTTGTTGGATTGGGTTAGTATCAGTAATAAGATATTATAATTTAATAATTAAAAAAAATGTTATGATGTTGCCTTGGGTAGGCCAACGCCTGTTTGCCTACGTTAATATACACGCCACTCAGATCCAGTGACAAAAAAAACATTATAATGGTTTTAACCATATCCACAACCATTTCCTACGCTATAACTATTTAAATATAGTTTTGATATTTATTTGAAGACGATATTTTTAACATACAGACACTGCACTATAGAAAAGCTAGAATAGTATGTTTTTTTTTCATGTTTTTTACAATTTATCCCTACACAGACTTTTTTAAGAATTTAATTTTGTTTTTATTGAACATCTCGAGAACGGAACAATGCAAACGGCAAAATCACATCATGCATTAAATTTTTGGTTACGTTTTAATTGATAGTTTAAAATTTTTGCCTTTGCTTTCCATTTATATATCGGAAATTATAAATTTTATTTCTCTTTCTCCATTGTTTTTCCGTATTTTCGAGATTCTTTCCATATTTTCTTAGTGCTTGTACCACTGTTCTCCACCTAGCATATACACACGTACTAACTTCGCTCCATGAGTTACTCTAGTTACCGCGCTCAAATAGAATTAAACCTTGAAAACTTGTTCGGTCTGATGGTTATCTTGAGGTGACAAAACCGGAGCTAACAAATTTAATTAAAGTCTGTTAACTGATCTCGCACGGCATCTGAGAAGACGCTTACTGTTAAAATGGATTTGGAAGGGAGAAGGGGAGGACGGGCTAAAAATATTTAATTTACAGGGGTAGGATTAACAAGTAAGATTAAGACTGTTTGCTGACATCCAGAGTATCATCGTGTTCAGTGCTGTGCTATTTGGTTTATTTATGTATTTTAAACGATGTTGATCGATTCGAACTTCAACTGCAACTGTGGATTAAATTAATTGAATTTTTAGTCCTTCTTAGAGACTCGTGCTCTATACAGATAGAACTCACATTTAGTTGTGATGTGTTTCATTAGTTTTCAACACCGAACGACACTATTTCAGAGCATCATTACGATACTGTTGCGGACCCGTGTGGACCCGACCTAACCTAACTATATGTCCCTTCCTCAGATAACCTTAATTAACCTTAAATATTATATGACATTTCATTTTCATTAAAGAATTGCCACCGTAATGATTAATTCGAAGTTTCGAGAAGAATCGAGTTCCACTGGAATGGAGTAGTACATACGAGAACATTCGAAACCTTCTCTACGCACCTAACGATCTATGGACTATTCGAGAAATCTTAAGCTGTGGGTATAAAAGCCGGCGGCTGTAGCCTGAAGAGGACAGATATAAATAAGACGAGTACAGTTAACGCGCAAAATTCAAAATAAATTCTTTCTAGATAAATAGTTGTAAATAGTTCTTTAAGTCTTTTATCGTTATTGTTTTTGTTAATTAGTGTTAAATAAATTGTGTTTAAATAAATTGGGACTTTCTATCCACACGGAACCGACGAAAAACGTAACAATACAGTAATTAATTTGTTTTGACCATTATGAAAAAACTTTAAATAAAAAAGTGTTAGGGGATGTTAGCAATTACATATATTGTAAGCAATTTAAAATTAGTTTGGAGTTTACAGGGTGCTTTGAAAAGATGGATGGAGATAACATTTTTTTTAAATATAAAATACCACTATATTTTTAATTTTATTTTTAGATTATGCGTAAAATTCTATAATTGTTTTATCATCATCATTTTCAGCTTATTCAACCATTTCCAATTATGGTGTAGCCTCCCTCGCATATTTAGAAACTCTCTTTGTAGTTGAGCCCATTGTTGTCTATTGTTGGCTATGCGGGCCCAAGTTCAATAAGTACTTCATGCTAACTTAATTCTTCTGTTGATTTCTGGTTGTAGAGACCCCGAGCTGTGTATTAGATGTCCCAAATATTCTTCTGCTATTTCCAGTGTTGTGTTATTTATTAGAATGTCTTTCCTGTCCTCTAGTTCGTTGTATATTACTTTAGTTTTTGCTAAATTCATTTTGATACCCACTTAATTGCTGGCTGTATTTTATATAAAATGTTATACCTCTAAAACTAATGGTTTTTGTAATTTATTTCGAGAATTATTTAAAAAAATATACTTAGATTTTAATATGGTGTGTGTTCCAACTTCAGAAATATATATTTCTGAAGTTGAAATGAATGGAAGTTCTCAAATTTGGTAGGAGAGTATTATAGAGTTGAAGTAAAAGATATTTGGTATATAAAGTTAGATATTACATGATGTTCAAAATAAATTACATTATTAGCATACAGGGTTTAAATCGTGATTTAAATCAAGTGATTTTTTTAATTTTAATCATGTGATTTAAATAAAAACAAAATAATTTTATTTAAACTTTATAATAAATCATAAATTATTATCATTTATTATAAATAATAAAAAAAATAACTGTAAAAGCTATAAAAACATGTCCTAGAAAACTATAAAAAATATTGCTATAAAAGATATAACAGTTAATAAATCGAAAAATAATTGTAAATGTTATAAAACTAGATAAAAATATCTATTCATCAATTTAAATGTTGTGCCGATTTTTGAAGTAATTTCGTGTGAATCCATTAAGCAGGACGCATATGATCGCGGAACGGAATGGATCGGAACGGAACGGATCGCAATGGAACGGAAATTTTAAAAAGTATATAATTAAGTTAGAGGCCGCACACTACCGCGGACCGGAGCCGCGAGGAATGGATCGGAACGGAAGGGAATCGCTGGGATTGCTTGCCGAGCGAATTTTTTCCGTGGTTCCACAAACCACTCAGGTTTTCAATAGAATGTTTACAAAATACGCACGATGCACAACAATTTTAAACAGGTTAGAGCAAGTTATTTATTATATTATCACGCAGTTCTGTGTTTGTGGATACGATGGATGAAGAACAATTGATTAATTTTATTCGTGGTTATCCACATCTTCATTTATTGAGTGATAAAAATTATCATAATCAACAAATGAGAGAAAATGCATGAGATGAAATTGTAAAGTATCCATCGCAAAAGAACAACACATACTAAAACTTAAACCAAGCCAGTCTAGTCGTAAATTACTCAAATATGTACAAATAATTTTTTCCGAGGAAGTCCGCGCTAATGTGCGGTGATTCAAAATTTCCATTCCGTTCCGATCCGATACGTTCCGATCCATTCCGTTCCGCGATAATGTGCGTCCTGCTTTAGACCGCTAAACGCAGGGATTTATTTTAAAATTTATGCATATAAGTGACAACAAATCACTGTTCAAATACATATCATTCGCAAAGTCTAGTTCAGAACTAGGTTCTTCTAATATAGAGACTATATCTTCATTCCCGAGAATCTATAATCGTCAGAAAATATGTTGTTTTATTTTTTTAAAGGGTTATTGTATGTTTCTGAATTCCTACCGACATTTTGGTCTGCAGTAAGTACTTTACACTTTGACATTAGATAATACATACTAATTTCATTCTCGACTTAAGACTATTTTCGAACAATAGTGTATTGTTTTATTAGGAGTAAAAATTATACCTTTTTTGACGATGCTGTACCTTGTACGTTACAGGGAGGTACAAAAAGAAATTTTTTTCTCCGAATAGAACGTAGTGTTTTTTTAAACATTACAAATAATTTTTTAATCAATTTCAAACATTGCAAATAATATAAACATTAATCGAGCAACAATTTGTACACTCATTGAATTTGAAACTTAATATCAGTTTAATAATATATTTTTGTACTTTTGTGCTTAGACGTTACAGTTCCTTACTTTTATGCCTAGATGTTAAAATGATAATAATTAATACTTTTAAGACGTTTGAAAAAAATCCTTTTTGATCTGAAGGGAGCGACTTTTTTTGCGGAATATATTGGTGACCGATGTGGAAAAAAACACGCGCGTCTTTAATTGGAAATAAGTCCTGGTCATTTGGAAATCCTATTTAAATGTTGTTTTGAATTAAAATCAAAAAAATCTGATTTAAATTAAAAAAAAATCTTATTTAAATAAAAAAAATCTGATTTTTTTTTAAATCATGATTTTTTCCAACCCTGTTAGTATACATATGAGATAAATCAGAATTGATTGACGTATTTAATTGTTTTCGGCCAAATGACTACAACTTTTGATTTTTCGGTATTTTTTTACTTTATTCGATAGAAAATGATATTCTGAATAGAATGACATAATCATATGTCAACTTTTGACATTCTCGTTTAAAAAACGTATTTGAGATTAAAAACATTTCTATTTCTTAATATTTTTTGATTCTTAAAACAAATGTAATAATGAACTTCATTATATCGTTGGCTTTAGGTGGTATCTTTTAACTTGAGTTTTTTTAAGATATTTAATGACTTATTTATTAGTATTTTTTCTAACGAGTTGTTTTTATTTCAGATCTCAGTTAACAAACGGATCCCTTTACATCAATAGTGTCAACGAAGAGCAAAGACTGACCGGGATCTATCAATGTATGGCAACATTGCCAAACGTAGGATCCATCGTTAGTAGAACGGCCAAACTCAGTATAGCTAGTAAGTTTTTAATTATATTTTGTCCCACTATCTTGATTTATATTCAAATCCAAATCATACAGTCTCAGGGCTTTGACAAAAGCCAGTATCTGAGTTCTCCATTTCCGATGTCAATCGTATCAAAGTTTATGGCACGAATGGTTGTTATCTCGGCGCACGCAGTGGTGAGGTTTTCTGCCATTTCCCCATTTTTCCCACAGAATCTGCACTCGCCACTGGGGTACTGTCTCCTCTTCAGGATTTAGAATTAATTAATGAGGTCAAAAATACGAAATATAAATATATGTACTTAGTTTTGGTTGGTTTGAAAGCAGATTTTTTTTAACTGTCAACACATTTTGTTTCTTAATTAAACCATGTATGGGGAAATGAAAGACCGAGACCAAGAGAGTCTTTGTCTTGGTCTTGCATTTGCTCATCACTAGCCCTTGGTCAGTAGCAGAGTTCGGAAAAAAAAACAGATGTGATGTTTAATTACTTTGTTAGTGGAAAATGTTAGTTTTGGCTAAGACGTAACTATTTTTTGAATACAGGTTTAAAATTTATTTGATAAATAGCAATCCGGTGGTGACTTACATACATAATATAACGATTGCGGTTGCATTTTTTTCAAGGATAGTTGTAATTAAAAAATTCGAGTATACCTTTACTAGTTTAGTTAGTAAAGCTTTTAAAATTAAGTAAAATTTGGATGAAACAAGAATAAACAATAAAACCAAAAATAAATCTCTTTTGCGGACTTCTGCGGTTATTTTCCGGTATTCAACAATGTGTTTTCTATAGATATAAGATCGAAAATATTGCTCCCGCAAGGCCGTAAAACTCCTTATTTACGACCTTTCTCTGGTATTTGAACATGTATTTTTATAAAGACAAAACTGCCAAAGCGGGAAATTGAGGAAAATTGCAAATTTATCGTTTTTCTTCGACCATTATTTCCAGTTTGGGTTTTCTCGTTACAGAAAGCAATCTTGCAAAGTCAGGGTCTAGTAACAACAAAGTGATTAAGGTTACCAAATATTTTACATTTAAGTATTCATAAGCTTGATTTATTATACTAAAATTAACTAATTATGTTTATTTTATTATAATGTATAATTTACATATGGTAATGAGATTTCATAGGCATAATGCAAATTCCTTTTATAAAATTTTACAAATATGTAACTAGCAAAATGGTGAACATACAATGCATTTTACGTCATGATTACACCAATTCTGACAAATGCCGAAAAAACGAGAACAGAAGAATCTATTTCACGTTGTGACTGTTTAATTTTAGACATTACAATTTGCAAAAACAGGAGTCGGTCAAGTTTGCCCCCCGTACTAGAGGAAATTCAAAAATAGATATACCATTATTTTGCACACATTTTGCACAATTTTGCACACCATAAATGATATTTTGCACACTTACCTAAAAGAAACCAGAGCAGTTTATTAAACGGGGAGAAAACTTGACCGTTCCCCCCATTTGTTACGAAATTGATTTAAGTATTTCTATGTACATCGATTCGGCTAATTTTGCACAATTTTGCACACCTGTTTTTAAATTTTGCACACCCTCCTGACGAAAGTTATAAATGGTTAAAAATTTGAAATCCACCCCCCCCCCCCATCTGTAGCTAAATTGAATTTTATTTATATCAAACGAATCAGATAATTTTGCACAATTTTGCACACCTGTTTTTGAATTTTGCACACCATCCTGATTAAAGTTATGAGGGTTTGAAAATTTGCAATTTCCCCCCCATCAGCTACGAAGTTGAATTTTGTTTATATCAAACGAATCTGCTAATTTTGCACAATTTTGCACAGCTATTTTCGAATTTTGCACACTCTCCTGACAAAAGTTATAGGGGTTTGAATATTTGAAATTTGTCTCATTGTGTGTGAATTGTCCCATTTAAAAAAAGACATAAGAATGAGTCATATTTGAAAATGAGAGATCTCAGCGCGACGTGGAAAACTGTACGGAACCCAGACTTCACCTTTTAACACCACCAGATAACCGAGATATGAGGGTTGCCGAAAAATGCAAAATTTTCACATTTACCCGGTATTTCAGGAAATAAGAGAGCTAGGACAAATCTGTGTGTAGAATCTTTAGTTTCATAAATGTTCTTCTATGCAAGCTATAAATTATCGAAAAGGTGAAATCTAAGTTCCGTGCAGTTTTTCACGTCGCTGAAATCTATCATTTTCGAAATATGACTCATACTTGTGTTTTTTTAAATGAGACATTTCACACACAATGGAGCAAATTTCAAATATTCGAACTCTTATAACTTTTGTCAGAAGAGTGTGCAATATTCGAAAATAGCTGTGCAAAATTAGCCGATTCGTTTGATATACACAAAATTCAATTTCGTGACAGAGGGGGGGGGGGGGAAATTGCAAATTTTCAAACCTTCATAACTTTAATCAGGATGGTGTGCAAAATTCAAAAACAGGAGTGCAAAATTAATCGATTCGTTTGATATAAAAAAATTCAATTTAGTCACAGATGGGGGGGAACTTTCAAATTTTCAACCGCTTATAACTTTCGTTAGGAGGGTGTGCAAAATTTGAAAATAGGTGTGCAAAATTTTGCAAAATTAGCCGAATTGATGTACATAGAAATAAATCAATTTCGTAACAAATGGGGGGAACAGTCAAGTTTGCCCCCCGTTTAAAAAACGGCTCTGGTTTCTCTTGGGTAAGTGTGCAAAATATAATTTATGGTGTGCAAAGTTGTGCAAAATGTGTGCTAAATAGTGGTATATTTATTTTTGAATTTCCTCTAATACGGGGGGCAAAGTTGACCGACCTCAAAAACAGTGTCGTCAAAACATGAAACTATCGTGAAATTGTCAGCTACTGGTCTGGTTGCAAAATTGCTTGACTGCAGCGAACAATTTTATGTTTATTTAATAGATCCTAAGGTAGATTGAGGATATCTCGATTCTAAGATATTAATTGAAGAAGTGATTGACCCGAAAAATGGTCTCTACAAACGAGGCACATCTAAAGGAATTTTGTTTCTGTGTTCTTTGTTTTCTAGAAATGATATTCGAGAATCCTCGGTAGGTTTTGAATGTGAAGTTTCTAATCTGATTACTGTCAGAGGGGTATTAATAAAAAAAGGATTTGTTTTCATTTTTAATAGTAGTTTTATATTAATAACAGGTAGGTACATTCTTATCTAAATGTTCAGTTATAGAGATGTTTTATTATTTTCAAGGGATTAATAATTTTATTATTTATTTGGTAGTTTTATGTTTATGATAGGCCATGGACTATTAACTGTCTGTTTTCTTAATAGGAAATTTTATTACGTTTTCTGTAAATGTATTATTAAGGTGGGAACGCATTAAGTGGTTGCAGTCCTGTCGCATCGCGAACTGGTAGCTTATTCTATATTTTTTTTTACATTTGGTCTTAGCTACTGAATATGTAGGTTCGATAATTGTAGAATAGATCTATTACTACTTACAGATCTATACTTACAAGTTGCTAGATTTTATGAAAATTATAGGACTGGAGAATGTAACCTAAGGATCAGAAGGGAACCACAATAGATCTGAAAGGTCGCAGTGGAACAGGCCGATAGCTACCTCGAAGAACCTAATTTATCTGCTTCTGATCTTTCTGCAACTTCTCCAAGTTCTGATAGGGTACCAGTGTTAAAATAGTCTTCGTTATCAAGAGTTTCTCAAAACATTTTAACTTTGTTACTTCAATTCGAAAGAAATATATTTGTACCTACTTTTTAATTAACGATGTTTTTGTATTAATATTATAAGTCAGCTTATCCAATAAATAATAAATTGACATATATATGTCAGAAAACATTCGACCAATGTGTACTACCAGTCATGATATATGTATGCGAAACCTGGACACTTAAAACGGACATCATAAGGAAACTGCAGGTCACACAACTCTCAATGGAACGAAATATGCTCAGAATAACCAAGAGAGACCGTAAAAAGAATAGAGTGAATACGACAAAAGACCCAGGTAATAGATCCACAGAGTCAAATCACAGTGTCATCCACAGAGTCAAATCCCTCAAATGGCAATGGGCAGGACACCTGGGAAGAAGATCGGACAACAAATGGGCTACAAAAATTACTGCATGGTATCCACGAGGAATTAAGAGACCTAGAGAAAGACCAAACCTGAGATGGGGCCATGATATTAGGAAATTATCAGGGATAATTTATGCCCGCATAGCCAACAATGGCCCAACTACAAAGAGAGCATTTAAATATGTAAGGGAGGCTACACCATAATTGCAAATGGTTGAATAAGCTGAGAATGATGATGATGATATGTCAGAGTTGATGGCGATATTTATGTATTATATCAAAGAGAAAGTAGTTCAGTATTTATTGATACATGGACGTGTCAATTTCCAAGAAAAAACAAGGACTATATGAAATGAATTATGTTCTTCATTCATAAAATTAAAGTTAATTTCTTATACACTGGTATGTTCTTAATATCTCCCAAGCTAAAGTTATATAATATCTCTACAACAATAATTATTCTGGACTTAACAAATGTTATACTACAGTTCGTTATACCCATGACAGAATGTCATATTTTTAAGAATGTTATGTTCAGTTAGTGTTTTGCATGTCACGCTGAGTTATATTAAAACAAATGTACGAATGTTTGTCTTGGATTAATACCGTAAATTTGTTCAACGTGTAAGTTTAACGTTACTTCTAGTCGTCGTGGCATATGTGACAGGGAATTTCTCTTAACGTCTATATTTAGGTTTTATGTATTCAGATTTGCTCTTTGTTTATGGATTTAACTGAATGCACGCTTGGCATAAAATCTATTTATATATAGACATGTATTAATTGGTTATAATTTATTGATATGAATTTAATTATTTAGCTAATTATAAATTAGACAGAAACACAAAAAAAAAAGTTGTAGTGGGTCTACTAACAGGGCATTGAACAGGCATCAAATCTATGCACGAAAAAAATTGTGAATAATGC